ATGATGATGGTGATAGACAGCGATAATGTTGTGATGATAATGCTAGCAAATGTTTACGTTGATGTGACAATCATCGCCTTTGAAGACAAATGACGTTGACAGCAATGATTCGCAAATCTTCACGGATTGATGATGATGATTATAACGATGATACGGATGAATTTTGAATCACATTTACCTGTCGAATCCACACATTTGTCGCCAACACTTGATTCTTCTCGTCCTAAAAATTTGTTAAGATTCAATAAATATCTTAAAAATTCACTTAGATTAATCTTTGTTATCATATGAACGCTTACCAGATCGATAATTTCACTCAATGCAAAACCAAATTCTGCCTCAACGGCGTCTGATTCTTTGAGGACTGGACGAATCTCTTTATTGTAACCCCTGAAAAGGTCTTTGAACAGCAAGTCTTCATACCGCGTCACGTTAGCTTTTATGACTCCTAAAAAGAGTACGATATAGCATACGCTATGATTGGTTGTGAACAAAGCTAACTTACATGGGCAATGATTGGTTAATATATAATTATCAACAATCAAYCATTTCATGAATATTTCATTAAATGTGTCGTACGCGAAGGAGCGGCCAAATGGTCATTCGTGTGCCACAAAAATGAASCGATAYTTTGAGAWTATTGATCAAGGGGGATRTTTGAGATATTCCATCACATTGRACTCTTGCCGTGMAYAACACTGTTCTTTTCTTTAGTAACAATTCTGTAATGATAYYAAGTCAAAATGAGAGTTTTGACTTTGCAGATCGATTGAGGCAAAGATGCGACTTGACGGCGACACATTCTCTATTCCTTTATATCAAAACCTACATTTTATATAATCAAGAAAGACAATTCATTTCTTTCAAGGAAGAAAGACAAAAGAGATTGTTACAGCGGATTATTACCGATACAAGGCTTTTCAATCCCCTTTTCAATCCCCTTTGTATTGCTGTTTGAGAGAATTAACTAGAGCTCTTCTTAAGAAAGATTTTAATTGTAAATTTGAGGTTGTCTGACGAAAAGTCGTCTTTTACTAATTTCTACTAATAACTGCTACAGTAATATGGCAATATTTTGATCTAATTGTAGTCTTTACATATTAATTACTCGACAAAATGGCGCTAGCGCAGTTGCAGCCACATGGAAACACAGTTTGAAGCATTTAAATACACAGTCACCATGAGAAASAACAGATTTTGTGGAAATATTTCAATAAAGTTTTCATCACTGAAAAAGAGCCGGCACATTGTTTAGATAAACAAAACGGAGTCTTTTGAAATATTCATAGGTAACATTTCTAGCTTTTGAATGATATCTAGGAGGTTTAGGGAGATTTTTAAGAAGCTATAAAGTAACAAAAGGTCTGAAAGTTGTTTCGTTCAATCTAACCATTTCAAAATCCTCGTTCAAAGCATTTACGAGTTTCTTATTATATATATTTTGCTCTTTTTACTTGTCATCCTATTTGACTTTTAAAGTTATAAAGGAAAGACCTATATCGTTTCCGGAAAAAAAGACTCTAAATGATTTTGTAATTAAACATGAAGAGCTTTTTCGATGAATTCAAAATATACCAACTGACCTTCCAAAGACCAAACCAGATGAAATATTACTAGCAATTGAACTGTTCTTGCGACGAACTTCAATTTAAAAGTACATCTGTCCATYYTGTCTACTTATCATAAACAAGAGACCTGCTGCAGTTAGTTTCCAATTTGATGGTCAGTCGTTAAAATATGATTTTTTTCTTACAACACTTGAATACGATAGGCGTGTGAAGAGCATTGTTATTGKGMAAATGAGTTACCAAACTGCGATTACATCCTCATTAAAATGAATATAACRTGATTACTACTCATGCGCACGAAAAAAAGTATTCCTCACATTAAAGCATGTCCTAAGGGCAAAAAAGGCTTAAAGTTTGTATGTTATAAGCAGTTATGGCTGTTTTCAGTAGCAGTGAAAATACTATAATTCACSCCAATGTTAAATGTGCCATTGATCCTTAAATGTGGGGAGTAGTCTCTTTTGGTAAATAAATAAATAATTTCATGACACCTCTGCAAAGAAAAGACTTACGTCAACTGTGATGACATCATGAAAKGGWCTTTGCTTGCTGTTTTTGTGTGATTGAATWATCCCAAAAACCARAAAGTAGAATTTTTCTTGCAGAAATTTGTAGATGGTTTTTTAATAGTACGGTTAAGATTTTGGCTAAAATTTTCTCATATTAGAAAACAATTTACGACTAAATCGCGTGATAACAAACAAACATAGACTCAAGGACGCGCAGCATGAACTGTGAGGCAACAAATAACATGACTTTATTTACGTACGAAACATGAAGTAAAACGTGTTAAATTCTTTATAGTAGGGAACTAGGAGACTGTTTGGAAAGTATTTAAGCTCCCTGCTTCGTTCATGCACGTGAATTTCTACGCATCCGCATGAAAAATTGAGCGACAGTTTTGACATTGACATTTGAAAATTAGCATTTTTTACAGAACTATATTTTTTTCATTTCGTATTTTCTTTTCAGRCTAATTTCATTGAGCAAATAGGCAGAGTTTTCCCAATTCTCAGTGATAAATAAGCCGAATTATGATAGTAAGAAAAACATACATGCACTCGACAAATTTGTCAAATGTAAAATTTACTTTTCTATTCATTTCTTATCGTYCCRATATTCACTAAGCAAATGTTTCATACGTTTTTTACTTTATTTAATAAAGTTGCAAAACACTTTCAAATGAAAAACGACCTTTGCTTTGAAAGATCGTTATTCACATTCAAATCTGCCATTCCAAATTAGCCAAAAGAAACTGAAAAGAAATGGAAAAATTCGACTACAATTTCAACCTTGCATTATTGTGTGTATTTTGTATTTGTTTTTCTATTGTATCTCTTAATATTACTCGTCTGCGTTTTCGCTGTCTATTGAATTATGGTGAGACAGGTTATTGTATTACTCAACTATTCAAGTCCAGAATGTCTGGCTTATAGATTGAGCACATATATGTCCAAAAAAATAAGAGCACCTCCCGTCTTAATATTCTGAAAAGAGATTTCAAAAATACAGTGGGTTGTCGAGGAGTATTTGTGAAAAACGATGGAAAGGTTTCTGAATATATTCAATATTACTGAATTAATTACTTCCAACTTCTGCTGAAAATCTTCATAAAAAAATTGAAAATAGTTTTCCATTATCAGGTGACTATACTGATTGCCTTTGATAGGTGAACATATACCGCCAAAATATCCACTGTACCTTGCGGGCGCACGTTCTATGAACTTCTCTCAAATAATCATTTATTAACGGATTTGATTCTTAGAAAGATAGMAACAAACTTCAGTTTTATGAAGATAAATTTATGAAAGATCGACAGCATTGCTAGCAAAAGCAAAAGAAATTTTAAAAGTGAGATGGCAAGCGATCATTTAAACAGAAATTAGACTAGTAGCTTAAAGAAGTGGCCGAAAGCGCTTCAAACCCACGCAAAGCCAACTGGTAGCAAATCGAAGGAGTTTTAGTTTGGAATTGCTAGAAATGAATAGAAATTTAATTAAAAACTGTACAATGATAAGTTTGTTTATACCTTCACATTCGGTGATGATGGATAGTCCAAATACAAGAACCGTGGCATACCAAATACAGCTTTTATCCATTCCAAAAGAAATTATACTCTTTTTTGTACTGTTTTCCTTGCTTTACTGATTTCTTGATATTCTGATCAAATAAAAGTCGTCTAGAACTGAAAAGGAATTAATATTAAATRTCAATCAATCTCTCAAATAAGTATATTATGTATAAATAACATGAATAAAGTTCTATAAATATAAATGACTACGGATTAAAAAATGATTCTCGGTGTTTTTGTGCAATTGTCCTGGCGTTTTTTTCTGTTTTTCTTATCTTTCCAGCGATATTTCTACAAATTAATTCCTAGTTTTGAAAACTAAAAAAAAAATAACTGTCTAGCAGACTAAGTTGAAGATTAAATAACGATTTAAGCCGTTAAAACTTGTATTTTGTATAAATTGTTCATAACGAGTCGAAACGCAGTTACATAGAAACTGACCACATAAGGAATTCTTATATATCCCAGTTTCAAATCCAACAGAGGTTACAGAAGAGAATTGCATGCAGTACCGCCCTAGAAAAACACCTTTTTGAGCGGTTATTAAATCTTTAAATAACGCCGCATTAGGCGGACTTGAAGTTAACGCCTTACCTACTTCAAATTGCCGGTTCTAAGCGGAGCTAAATTCCAGTAAAACTTAAAGTCATTAGCGCAAGATCTCGTGTCGAATGCCTSAGTAACACTGGTACAGAGCATAATTACAAGTACTTCCAAAGTGCTTTGTGTAAGTTTGCACGCGTTGCTAAGCAATCCTCCCTGTTTCCATAAAGCTTCGGCGCTATATATTAACTTATACAATCATAGMATAATTTACCTTCACCTCCGAGATAAATTGATTTTTGCTGATATGAATTAAAAGTTGATTGGATTAACGGGAATTCAACTTTTGGTTGATTTCTCATGCACTTTTGTCAGTGTTTCTCTTCAAACAAGGRCAACATAGTTGATTCTTTTTTAACTAATTATTTTTCCAGGCTTCTCTCAGTTCGCCCTGTCGTCGCCTGTTATGTTTTAATTAGTACTAAAAAGAGTAATGTTTACAAAGAAACCGTTGATAATTTAGGTCCCCCGTYGTCTATTGGGCTTYRTYGTAATGAGAAAAAAATCAACTATCAAAACCTTCTCACACATTTTAAACCACACACATGTCTTCTGAAGAGTCAAAAGATCGGATCTACATYCGAGGTCGATAACATTTGAAAGTTTTAATATCCCAAAGATCAGCSAAATAAAACTGAAATTATCAAGTAACTGGCTTTAATTTCRTTTCAAACGCAGAATTTCACAAGTGTCGAGTTCAGTGCAAATACAATTTGCTCCAATCGTTTTATTCTTCTTATTATTCTCTTAGTTTGATTGGATTCTGTACATATGAGAATTAACGTTTGAACCAGCTTTTAAAAAACTATATAAGTATATTTTTGAAATAGGAAATGCTTAATATTGTTACGAAGACAGTCATCGCSATTAGACAAGACAGCTTACTCTATTTCATGTTCAAGGTGCTTCATTTGTCCAAAATTTGTATTTCATTGTTTAAAGTTTTTTCTATTAAAAATAARCTAATTAGACTTGTGATCTTCAATTCAATATGTCGACGTTGAATAACAAACACTTTAAGTAATGATTTTTTTTTTATATTTGCCACTTCTTTACTTTTATCTCGAAACCCTCAAGTTTGAATATCGACCTTGCATGTTTCAAGATTAATATCATGTATTTGAAAAAAAGTACATTAAATAACA